CACACACACACACACACACACACACACACACACACACGCACACACACACACACACACACACACACACACACACACACACTGTGTGGCACTTCCCGCTCAACCACACAAACGTGGAGAACCTTGCGAACCTTCTATTATAATGCTCATGTTTTTTTGTTTATGGATAGTTTGTGATGGTACGAGGATGGATTTAGAGGGTGAGTTTGGGGATGTTGACAACAGACGTTCCGGTCTTTCTAGCTCTTGGTCTTGGCAGATTTGAGCGGCGTACTGGTGAGCTATTCCTTTCTGTGGTCAGATAATTTGTTGGTTGTTCTTTATTTAGACATGGCCTAATACTTTGCCCTGCTGTAGAGCATGGGGTGTCTTTTGATGAAGGCATGTTTGTGGGTGACCGCAATTTTTTTGGGCGGGAATCTCTGTTTGGAGTCATGGTTACGGGATATTCACGAGGAGGCTCGGAGAGTCTTTGCTGTGTGTGTCACTCCCGTGGGCTGCTCTTTTGGAGCACATGGAAGATGGTGGTGCTTCCATGGTGTTTTAAGCAGTAATGCTCCTGGTGTCGCATGGAGATTCTGTGAATGTGTTGATTGGGATGAATAGGAGTGTCACTGCTGCTGTGATTATGGGCTGACTCGGAGGGCTCTCCAAGTTTTTTCGGACTATACGCTGCGCCTGGTCGATGCTTTTCTGCTGGTGAAGACTTCTCTGTTAGGTATGTTGTTTTCTCAACTTTTCTGCCCTTTACCTTTGTTTTTATGGATTGAAAAAACTATATATATTTGTGCAAGTGTGCCACCTTGGTGGCAGGCGGGTGTGTGGGCATTTCCCGCTCAACCACACAAACGTGGTGTTACACATTGTGTCACACGGGCCTGGGTAGGCCCGACAGATTGGGGTTCAGGGGCCATTCCAGGCCCAAGGCCGGACCTTTACCACGGCGGAGCCATTCTAGGCCGCCGGTTGGCCCTTTTAGGCCACTTACAGACCAGACCCGACGGGCAGGCCCAAACGACATTACCGTTTGGGCCTGGCGGCGCTCTTGAGGCTGCCGCCCGCCGGTCTGATCTGAACCGTCGATCTGGACGATTCAGATCACGGCCAGGCCTCGCAGCATTGAGGCCGGCCTCTTTTCCACCGGTACTTAATACCGGTCCAGCCTCATTGTGAGGCATCGAGCAACTGGACGCTGCGGTAGTGCCAGTTCGTTTCGGTTCAGCAGCAGGAGCGTTAGCGCCAGCGCTATTCTTAGCGCAGAGTGGAGGAGCAGCAGCGGCGCAGCTAGCGCAGCAGCAGCGGCGAGCGAGGAGCCAGGCAGCAACCATCAGCAGCGCGGCGGCCATAGCCGCCTTCGACCTGCAGTCGGATTGCAGCGTAGCCAGGTACTAGGAGGCGAGGGAGTTTCTCCTCCCTCCACGGCCCCGGCTCTCTCCTCCTCACCTCCTCCTCCTCTGCCATTTCTTCTTCTTCTTCTTCTTCTTCAGACTTCTTCTTCTTCTTCAGACTGGAGACTTGATACTAGTTGGGCAGAGATCAGTGTTGGACTTCGGTGGTGAGGGGCTGTGGTACTTACCGGATTCGAGACTTGGAGATTGTCGGGGTTGATACTCGGCGGCATCACAGATCGGACACCGTTTACATTAGGACTCTGTACCCCCGACATTGGTGACTTATTGTCCACGACATTTTGATCTTGTTCGATGACATTTTGGACTACCATATCGGTGACCTACTGGATTCTATCTCGGTGACATCTGGTGCTACCTACATCTCCCACCTCTTTCGTCTCTCCTCCCACCTTTCATCTGTGTATGATTGTACGGGGCCTGAGCATCGTCTATGATTGGCTCAGACCCCACCATCTCACGATTGTTTGTGTGTTGAGTGATATCTGTGTGAGTCAGTCTATGTGAGTCAGTCCATTTATCAGACTTCCGCTGCGTACATGCTCATTCTATATTGTTTGATCTCTTGGTTCTGCCCATACTTGTTGAAGTATTCACGAGTATGCAACAGTTTTGGTATCGGAGCAGACCAAATAATGGATCTGCTCACAAGGTAAGTCTGATTTAGGAATAGATTGCTTATTCGATTTTCCAAATCAGCTCTGCAATACTATCGAGATTCAAGTTGCAAATTTTTTTTTTCGGTATTCTGTTTAATTCGGCATTCCGTTTCAATTCGGTATTCTGACTTTCAATTCGGGATTCTGTTTTAAATCGGTATTCTGTTTAATTCGGTATTCTGATTAATTGGTATTCTGTTTAATCCGATATTCTGTTTTAATTCGGTCTTCTGATTCTAATTCGTTATTCTGTTTAAACCAGTATTCTGTTTTAATTCGGCATTCTGATTTCAAATTCGGTATTCCGTTTTTTAATTCGGCATTCTGTTTTTAATCCGGTATTTCGGTTTTTAAATCTGTATTTCTGCTTTATTTCGGTATTGGAAATTAGGGTTACGATAAATTTCGGTTTTTCGTTCAAAGTGGGAAATTCGAATGTTTTGGAACCGTAAAACCGGAAATTCCACGAAATCGCGGAAAATTAGGGTTGGAATCCGAAATTTTCGCGATTGTTTTTTTCCGTTCCCTAGTTTGAGAAATTCCAAATACGGACTCAGGCCTTTGAAAATCGGACTTTTGTAGGTTGAAATTCCCGAGATTTTACGTTTTTCAAAAATTCGAGTGTTTTTCTTCCTTATTATCCGAATTTTTTTTTTGGCAAACTGTTCGGAATCGTTCCCTCAGAACTGCAACTTACGGGTAGTTCACTAATCAATGGTGAACTCCCGGACCATAGGTGATCTCAACGGACACCTAATCTTTTCACAATTTAAAATTCGTTAATTATCATTATTGCAATTATTGTTTTCTTGATTATTATTAAGAAAGTATTAATTCGTTATTAATCATTAATTAAATTTTATTGATTATTAATTCGTTATTATTTCTTATTACGAATTTTTAAGTTGTTTTGGGGAAAGTTTATCTTTTTCCTTTTCACTAGGTGTCTAAGTCCATAATTGGGACAGGGACTGTATGCGAATTGCTTGATCTGTTCTACCCCTGTGCCCACCCTCTCCCTCTTACTGTTCTGCGACTTTTCGGACCGGCCAGCCTTCAGCAGCAGTTTTCTGATGCCAACAGGGCAAGCCACCGAACAGCAGCCACGACGCCGCAAACGGATCACAGATCTCCAACAGCAACCTGCAGTTCGACAGCAGCCACAGACCAGCACACAGATGGCGACCACGCCTAAGAGCGGAACATCGTCTGAGACTTCAACATCCAGTAATGTCGAACCCTTGCCCGTCTGTCCTGTTCAAGGGCCGAACGAGTCCATCATGGACTACATTCAGAGAGTGAAGACCTATACGGACTCACTAACCCTTGCCAAGGAACGGCAAGATGCTGCCGAAGCAGAAAAACAGAGGCTGGCAGCAGAAGCTGCAGCCCAAGCCCAGCGACAAGCTGAGGCGGAGCAGTTGGCGACCGACAAGCTCAATGCCGACAGTGCCGACCTTCTGATCTCTCAACACGATCAGGCGCCGAGCCGACGGCAGTACAGCAGGAGAGACAAAACCTGGCAGACATTCTACTATGCACAATGCGCGCAGTTATCTGGAACAACACCATGGGTGACCTTCATTCCAGGTCTACACGGCAGCTGCAGCACGATCTTAACCATAACGTGAAGACGCTTGCAGCAGCCGTCAAGATCGCGGACTCCCAGCTGCAACAGATGGACACCCACATTGCTACTCTGGAGGCAAGGCCTTCCCAAGCAGCGCCAGGCTGCACGACAGACACGGCGAAACAGCTCGGCGAGCGCATCGACCATGTCGTCAATCTAATCGGCGAACTAGGTGATTTCACTAGTCCGGCCACGATCAGCAGCACGGTGGCCGCCATCAAGACGGACATCACCAAACTGCAGACAAGACCGGACGCCGCTACAAAGACATACAAGATGCCTCACTTCAACATCAGCAAGTTTGACGACTACAACAAAACGGACGCCTTGACATGGTGGCAAAGTTTCCCAACGAAAGCATCATGCCGCACTGTCCCGACTGAAGACATGATGAAGGCGCTCTACCTCCAACTGATTGGAGGAGCACAGGCATGGATGAACCATTTTGCGGCCAACAAGAGGGACGGCACCTGTGACCTGAAGACATGATGAAGGCGGGAAAGACGGGGAGAACCTGGGAGGTTCCAGGAGAAACCAGATTAAAATATGCTAACGGTAAAAATAAATGCCAGAGGGACGGCACCTGCGGGCGGCACCGTCCGGGCCGGGTGGCCGGACGGATACTAAGTGTCGTCACGACAAGCGCAGACGGAGAGCATCGAGGGGAACAAAGAAGGGAATAGCTGCGGCAAGAGGGGCCGGCCAGCAGTTCAGGCTATTCCGGACCAGCCAGGCCGAAGAAGGAGAAGTTCCAAGGGCTCCACGTGTAGAAAAGGCTGGCCGGAGAAAAATCGGAGCAAGGCAGCCTTGATCTGGAAGCGGTGGCAACAAAAAGGAGCCCCCTTGGACCTTGGGGGTGCCATTACTGCAGTCCGGGGTGTAACGGCCATATGCCGGCTRCAAAATCAGACCTTGGGAAAGGTCCAACAGCTAGAAAGAGAAGAAATAGTTGTTGGACACTTGTCCCAACAGTAATGAGAGAAAGAGGAGAGAGAAAAGGGGGAGAGTGAGACAAAGGGGGAGGAATGAGTGGGGGGAAATGTGCCGCCAGATTGGGACTGCAGCCGTAGGGACTGGCAGGTCCCAATGATGACCTCATCCCTCCTAGATCCTAGGAGGGCAATCCGGATTGCAGAGATAAGGCCCTTAGGGCATTATCTCTGCAATAT